TGTTGTGTTTCCTCGTCTCTCAGATTTCCTTTTCACTGAATCATAGAAAAACAGGACTGGAAAGGACCTGAAGAGGTCATGCAGTCCATCTGCTCCCCCTAGGCAGGATCAACTGTCCCTATATCATTCTTGACAGATGTTTGTCTAATCTGTTCTTAAAAACCTTCAGTGATGGAGGTTCCTCGACATCCCTAGGCAACCTAGGCCGCTCTCCTTAGCATTAGAAAGGTCTTCCTGATGCCTGACCCTAGCCTCCCCTACTGCAATTTAAACCCATTACTTTCTTGTCCTTTCCATTAGGGCCATATTTTGCCCTTGCTGTTCGCCCAGACTCTCTGTAAAACCAGTAGCAGTTCTGTTATGATACAGGGCGATATTCTCTTGAAAGTTCGTTCTTTATTTCCATTTAGTTTCTTTCTCTTTCCTTAGCTTATGCAAAATACTTTGTTACTCTGTCACTATCATGTAACTTTCTGGATGCAGGGAACAACATCCCTGATCTCATAAGAAGACCTTAATACAGGACTCCAGTCAACTATCCCAGGTGTAGGAATATCCTACATACATAATTTAAGAACAAAATTTAGTCTTACAGACCTAATTCATTCTTCGCCTCTGCAATTACCTTCACTGTTGACAGCAGCATGTAAAACTGATGTAAAAGAAATAAGAATCAAGCCCTTTACATTTTTCAGTTTATTCTTATAAAGTATTATGCTGCACTTTATGCTTCTCATATTCATCTTATTCCTCTAGCTGTAGTGTGCATATATATATTCCTGCCAGATACTGATCAGTGTTGCATACAGTCATCATTCTCGGCGTGTCTACTATATCCACCTACACAGAATGGCACTTACAGCAACTGCTTCTGTAATTTCTGTGCCTCCTTCTGTCTTTGGATGGAAAATGCACAACAGTCATAAATATAATTCATATCATATATACGTGTCCAAAATTGGGAAAAGTCAGCTATTGCAAGTTTGAATTGATTCTGTCATCTAGAATCTAATTCATAATCTAATTGTCGCCTCTCCTTAAGGCTATTTCTGGAGTGGAAATTGTAGTGGATGAAAAGAGAGAGAGTATTTTAATGCAATTTTGTGACAGAGATAACTATCATTGTTCTTTAAGCAGGACATTTACAGCTTAACTATCACGTCTGTAAAACAGGAGGTGTGCTGGAAATTATGTAGGGAGTTAAAGATGGAATCCTCCCTCAGTCCCTGGTCAGGCCTTAAGATGACTGCTTCTCCAACCCCATTGCTCCCTTTTCCCTCACAAGCGGTGAGTTAGAAACCAACAATCTGTAAATATCCCTTATATATTGTTATTACATCTAAAGTCACTGTGCATCCAGACCTCACTAGCCATATCCCTTTTTGCCCAGCTAAATTTTGAGAATTTCTTACGTTTGTCCAAAGATTTCTGGATGTCTGACAAGAAAACTGCCAAGCTTCTGGGTATCCCAGTTATTTCAAAAATACATTTGCAAATACATTGTGCAATATATGTGCAGAGAATCAAACACTTCCTAGACTTAACCAGCATATTGTGCATGTGCTACGTAGTGGCTGTGGCTGTGTGCACGCTTTGCATGCACGGGTGGAGAATGAAGAATGCCCTCTCATTCTGGTGCTTCCTGGAAGCTTCAAATTTATTGTGTACATGCTCAGCAGTTGAAGTGTTCAGGGACAATTGTGTAGCATGGCTGGAAAATGTTGGATTTGCCATCTGTGTCTTACATGATCATGTATTTCTCCTTCAGAAACACGGATGGGAAATAGCATAGAATCATAAAAAATTAAGGCTGGAAGGTCAAGGTTCAAGAGATTATCCAGTCCACCCTGTTGTTCTCAGGCGGAGTAGCTCTTCCAGTATTTGTCTAACTTGCTCCTAAGCACTCTCATAGGAACTCCACAGGTTCCCCCAGCAATTTATGCCAGTGCTTCACTGCCACATTCGACAGCTTTTCCCAGCATCTAATTTGAATCTTCCAGGTTATTGCGCCTCATTCTCTCCACTATAAAATGTAAGACAGACTCGTTCTCTCCTCTTTTCATTAGCTCTGCCTGTATTTGAGGCAGGCATCATATCCCTCTCAGTCTTCCCTTCTTTAGATTAAATGCAACAAGTTCGTTCCAGGTGCCTTCATAAGCCTCAGGTAACTCCCAGGCCTTCAGCCACTCTAACTATTCTCCTCCAGTTGGTCCAGATTTTTTCTGAAGTGTGGCATCTAGCTGTGGGCACGGTGCCCCCCTTGCTAATGTCTTTCCAGTGCTTAGTAGAAGAGAAGATTCTTCACATGCACTGCCAACGTCACTCCAGCTCACACAGCTCAGTATGGAAGTTGCCTTTTCTTCACTTTTGCAACACCCCAGTATTGCTGGTGGCATGTTCAAACTGACAGGATCATTTTGAATCCTAATCCTGTATTCCAGCCTATCGAAAGCCCCTCCCAGCATGTCATCAGCACGTAACTTTAAAAAGTATATTCTCTTCTCCATCATCCAGGTAATTAGGAAAATATTAAATAGTGCAGAACGAGGTCAGACTTCTTTGAAGCACCATCCACTCACTCTTCCGTTTCCACAGATAGATATCTATCCTCTCAGTTTTGTTTTCTAACTGCTTTTGCATTCATTCTGCAGCAATTGCATCTAAACTGTGTTTCCCTAGGTTATAAAGAATGTCACACAAGGGAGTGCCGAGAGACTTGTAAAGTCAAACCACCTACTGCTTTTTCCCTGTCTGCAAGGCCAATTACCCTGTCTTAGAGGGAGATCAGATTGGTTTGACACAGTTTGTTTCTAACAATCCAAGTTGTCTGTTGCTACTTTGTTTTCTTGCGGGTGCTTACAAATTGTTTGATTATTTTCTTCAGTACTTTTCCACAGGTTGAAGTTTAGTTGACTGGACTAGAATTTTGCAGTTCTTTCTTTTTAAAGATAGCTACTACATTTGCTCCTCCATCCTTGCAGATAAGCACTAACATCTTTAAGGCTCTTCCAGATAGTGCGAAAGCATCTAACTCATCTCAATACAGTACCTGCCTTCCCTCTCCTAGGCTGAAATCTTTAGTTTTGCCAGAGATTCCTTCGGACAATGGACCCAGAGCCCAAACGCCTGCCTGTTTCTAAAAGCTGCAGTCTGCAAGCATAATGGACAGGCAGTCCATTTCTGCAGCATTCGGAGGAGGCCAGCCCTCCTAGTGGACTGCTTCTGTAGGAGAAGATACTACAAAAGTAGATGGGTTGGGCACTCTCCATAGATAAAATCCAGCCCTCAGTGAATTTTTTTTTAAAGATGCCCCGTGCTTGCATGAGTCTGAAATCTGGAAACCTTTCAATCAGCTTTTCAACTATTATCCCTTTGATACAGTGCCAATTTTACCTTTTTAAAAAGTGCTTGATCCAAAAAAACCTCCTTGAGATAATAAAATGTTTTTGTTTATTGATCCCTAGGGAAGTCAGAATAGGCTAAAACTGGTCAGATAAGTAATTTTCATTATTAAATGGTAACTCAAAGTTTCTTGCTTCATTTTGTTTTATATCATTCCATGTGGGAGGTAGAAAAAGGAGTTGTAATTTTTTTCAATTCTTAAACAGACCCATAACAGGAATAATGTCATTAAAATTGTTCATATGTATTCCACAGAAAAGTGTCATCTTGAATGTGATCAGATACCTTTATCTACTATGCCACACAATTTGTTGTCTACTTAGCATCAGTCATTTCTATGTGTTCTGAGAGCGTATTATATATAATTGAGTATTACTAATGAATTCAGCTCCTTTTCTGAAGTCATTTGTTCAGTTAAATATCAAAAGAGAAAAACTCATACTCCTTAGAATTCAAGAAATAGATTTAAATTACTGACTTCAAGCAAGGCCAAATAGGCCTTTATCTTTTCCCCTTTCTGAGAATGCAGATAACAGCTATCACTTAAAATTGAAGCCTTTTAGTATGTTTTTGCAATCTTTTTTGATCAATATCGAGAATCAACATAAAATAAAGATATAATAAGTAGCAGTCACCTGAGTGTATCAGGACTATATTACTGTATTACTAGGCTCTGAAAAGGCTTTACTAGACTACTAGAAGCCAATTCAAAACTGTGAGTCCATTGTGTACCTTCGTTCTGTAGAGAGAGTGCCCTTTGAATTTGCTGCGAGTTTTATGTAAAAACCAGTACCGGAGAATGTTCCTAGTTTTCAATCCCACGTGAAAGAGTATTATAGGCAGAAGGGATTAATGGTTCTTTTCTTTCCTAGTGAACAACCAAAGAGTACACTGTTGTAAAATTTGTAAAAAAAAAATTATAAAGCCAGATTCACGTGTCACAGTGTATCATTTGCATCTACCGCACTCGCTAGACTTTTTAGGTATGTCTTACTTGACACAGTCCTGATGTGAATGGGGCTCAGAATTTTCACTGTGTTTTAGGCAAGGACAATTTATCAATTGAGAAATAAGGTTTCAACATTTTTGTTTGTTTGCTAGATCTAATGTCATAAAACAAATTATTCCTTTCTGTAGGAAAGGATTTTCCCCCAATTTATCTTCCTTTCCCCATTCCCACTCTTCTTGGCCCTGGTCCTGCAGTATGAAAGGACCTCTCTGAAACAATGCTGATTTATACGAGAATCCATGTAGGGAATAAAAGTCTGACTTCATGAGTCAGAAAACAGGTAAGGACATGTATTTATTAAATCAGAATGCTGCTGGGAATGTCATAGGTCTCTTATCACCCATTTCAAACAAGTATTTAGCTTCCAGTTAGATTAAGTATCCAATTAAACTGAGAAAAAATGGAAAGTCAGAATTCAAAGGAGCTCAGATTGCTCCTGCTGTAACACTCTGTCACCTGAACTAAGTCCATGGTATTTAATGTGCCTATGGGATTTGTTCCCCAGAAGTAGATGGGTGAGGTGGTGCATTGAAAGATTCCTATTACTGCTTCATTTTCTAAATACCTATTTTTACATTTTAACATATAGCTCCATCAGCCCTCCCAGACGCAAGTGGGACAAGCAGCCTCACAACCCAATCTCCTGCATTTGGCTCACAGTCAAGCATCTATGTCTCAAAGCCCAGTGCGTCAGGCTTCCTCTTCTTCCTCCTCATCCTCCTCCTCTTCAGCTTTGAGTGTTGGCCAGTTAGTCAGCAGTAAGTATTGCTCCCTGGCTCTCCCTAATTCTCTCCTCTGTTTGTCCTCCTCACTGCGGAGTTTCCTGATCTGCTTTCCCTCCTTTTTTTTTCCATATAGTAGATTGTATATTGCTAAGTAGAGTGACTCTTGCCAATAAGAACTGCTAAGTGCTGTCATGGATGGGGCTTAAGGTAAACATGCCTTGAGAAATTGTAATCAATGCTAAAAATAGTCATAAAAATGGTAGCAGACATTAATTGACTTACAAGGGCAATTCTTTTAACTAAAATGTAGTTCTTTTAACTAAAATGTAGTTCTTTGGAAATTAGAAGGTTTTGAATCAGTTGATATAATAAATTATATTGCTCAGAATTTGGTGGGCAGACAGATCCTCCTACTTTTGATTAGGCTGCTTGTTCGTTACTGTTTGTTTGCTTAGTTAGTGTAGCGAACCATTTTACAAACCCTAGCGCTGCACAACTCTAGAGCAAGAGACCTTTCTTGCCAGGAAAAGCTTGCACAATTTAAACACGAAAGAACTGTAAAGTGGGAGAGGAAAGAGAAGCACGCTGCAGTGAAATAACTGAGTTTCAGTGGTAGGATTGTAACAGCTGACCTCCTGAACAGCCCTTTCTTCCAGATCACACAGTTCAGAGTCTTTGCTGTTACCTTATCAGCATTAACTTTGGTCTTTACATAGCAAAAAAAACACGTTAAAAGTATACACAAGAAGCGTTAACAGTTTTTGCACATCTGCAAAAATCTGAGTGTATTGGGTGACCTTGTTCAAAGATACTCCATGTACATATTTCAAGTAAATAAACACTGTAGCTCACACTGTATTGGTAATGTAAAATATATGACTGATACAAGCTTATGAAGGGCTTGGAGAAACTGTCATGCAAAAGAAGATGTGAAAAAATCTTGGTTAGATTATTTCAGAGATTGTTTACATGGGAAAATTACTAGCAGAGCTATAGTGATAAAATTATGCTGGTATAACTCCCAGTGTGAATTCTTTTATTCTGGAATAAAAATATCCACATTGGTAGCTGTAAGGACATAAAATATATAGATATAATTATAGTGATATAAATATACTGCTATTGCTCTGTCAGTAAATTTTCTCATGTAAACAACCTTGTAGGAAGAAGACAAGTAAGAGACTTCACGTTAAAAATACATAAAGTTACCCCTTGTCTATGTGGGAAAATTGACTAAGATAGCTAGTGCAGAATAAGTTACTTTTCAATGGCTAGTCCAGAATAGCCTCCCTTGTGGACATTTTTATTAAAAAAAAATTCTAGAATAACTATTGAGGGGTACTCTACCCCACAATAGTTATTCCAGTCAATTTCCCCATGTGGATAAGTGCACTACACAATAAAAGCAACATGGAAGAAGCTCTTTTGAGTTTACAGGATAGATGCATCAAAAGTTAGGAGATGCTAGAAAAACAGTTGCTTGTTCAACGGTATGCAATTCCTCTTAGAACATGTATTTTATGATAATGATATACGTTTGTGATTAAGATCACGCAATCATGATTTTTTTCTCATCCTTCTTTCAGTGCATTCCCAATGGAATTGTTCTAGGGATGCATCAGAATCACTAATGCAAAAGGCGGGCTGTTGTCCCAGGGTTTATTCCCTACCTGATTCACTAAGCTGTTCCCCAGTTTGTATAACATTTGAGGTAGGGAGCTGTAGATGGGTGAGGGATGGTATTGCTTCAAAGAGTAGAGGGCTGAGGAGCTGAAGCTTTCTGTCTGCCACGTAATTCCAGTGCAATGGGAGGCAAGTCACTTAAAACAGATTTTTCACAAGTGCTCCCTCAACATCCAGCTTGAGACTCTGGACTTTAATTTACAGAAGAACCTGGTACTCACAGTTACGATTTTAAGTGCACTTTCACTGTGGAACAGTATAAAGAACCATTTAAAGACACAGTCTAAAAAATCATCTCCTACTTGACCTAGACTGGGTACCCAAAAATGCTTTTTCCCTTAATATCTGTCCACTTCTCTGTGAATGAGAACAGGAAGACCCTCATCTTGTAGAAACACAAGAAAATAAATTAAGATTTAAAAAACCAGAAGAGCTCAAGAGGAAATGAATAACTATGTCTTTAGTGGAGAGCTTTAACAGAGGTCTGAGGCCACACTGAACAAGTAAAAAGGCAATACATCAGTCAGTTCCTCCATAATGAAGCACAATTTATCCTGCACTGGACGAGGCAGGGGTCTGGGGAAAAAGAACTGGTAATCTGGGGCTCAAAAACTATGCTACACTGCGTTGTGAGCTTCTGTAGCTCCAGCATTTTGTAGCTTCTGAGTGTTTATTTGTGCAACTCTAAGGATGTTCTTTTAGCTGCATTTTTTGCTTGGATAAATTTCAAGGTTGTTACAAAAGCAGAATAGTAATGGAAGTCAGTCATACAGTGAGATAACGCTTATATTCATAGTTGGAAATATGAGATCTTCTGTCAGTTGAATGGATGGAGAGGCTGCTAGGTTGTATTATCATCTTGTTGGTCCTGCTCTAAAAGGAATGACATGTGCTGTGCTCATGGATTTGGCTGAGAGCAGAGGAGTATGAGGCACAGGAATATCAATTTGGGGAAGAGGGAGAGATACACTAATGAACATAGACTTTCTACTCATTCCTCTCAGGCTTGACTCCTTCCACCACTTGTCCTGATCCAGTCCCATTACTTCCTCACGCCATTCTCCACACAATCTGCGCTCCCTTTGCCTCAGTGCTTCTTCTCCTCTTGCCTTCTCCCAAAGTCCATTATTCCTCAACTCCTCTTCCCATTTCAGTTCTCCTCCAGCTCCCAGTCAGTCTCTGTCCCCAGACCGTATCTGTGTCCCTTTTACCAGCCTTTTCATAGGTAGTTTCTGTCCTCCTCTACCTTGTTTTATCACTAGTGCCGCCTCTTTTTCCTTGTTTTGTTTACTCTACCACAGTGATTACTACTCTCTACACAGTCAGGCCCTCTCTCCCTCCACTCCAAACTCAAATCCTAGCTCCTTAGTAGTCTTCAGGGTTTTTTTCCTTCCATTATTTCTTTTTCTTCAGACTCAAGGTTAACTTTTGCCCCCTCTGCAACCACATCATGCAGACACCACTCCCATCCTTCCTGGAAGCCATCAGAGTAGTGTGGAAAACGATCACCAAGAAGAGAGGCAAGTCAGTCTCTCTGTCTTTACTGCTGTCCTGCCCCAAAGCAGGCCAGAGCCACAACCATAGGAGCGGGGGTTCTTCTCCATCTACTTCAGCCTTAGGCTCAAGCATCCTCAGTACAGAGAAAATCTTAAAGAAAAATCCACACAGAGGTCTAGCAAATCTCTACTGAGTAAAGATGCAATTTTGGAAGCTCACCTGCTTGGACTTGTTTGAGATGAATTTTTACTTGGGATGGCAAGAAGCCCATTACTGACATAACCGCTATCTCCCTGACAGCTATCAAGGCCATGCTTCAAGTTTTAGGGAAACTGAAGCTTCTTAAATAAAAGAGGTTATTACAATTCTTTTATCCTGGGCAGAGCAACATGATTTATTAGCTTCATTCTCAGAAGTGGTTGACCAGAAACTTGTCTTATAATGGCAAATGCCAGTCAAACTTGGCCATGGTCAATACCCTATCTGAGATAATGAATGGCACAGAGAAGATAGTTGGAGTGCTTCTCCCTTGCTCAAAACAGAAGAAAGCTTGATTAAATCGACAAGTGGGGATCTCAGAGAAGAAAATACTTTTCATACAATCAGACTGAGGAAGGCGTTGTGCTTGGGAATTAATTCACTGGGATCCAGAACTTAAGAGCATTCTAAAGGGAGAGGGTATTTATAGGAATCTCCTATTAAAAAGCATGATGATAATTACATATGAATAAAAAGTTCTTGAATTGTTCTAAATGTATGTTTCAGGCTTCATCCAGTCCCTAGCTATTCAAGACAACAGACTGAGTAGTCTGAGGGGCAGATCAACTCATTTCTGTCATTTACATAGCGTTATCACCCAGTGAGAAGTAAAACAGTTGTCTCAATGATTCTTGATGGCTGTCCAGCATATTCTTGAGAGCATCTAGCCAACCACAAACTGGACCTAACACTGCATGCGTAAGCCTGCTTGAGCTGGCACGTAAGTGACAATGTTCCAGGGCACAAGAGAGCTACCTGCTGGTTTCTAGTAATGTTAAAAGAGCCTACAAGAAAGAAGAAAATATGGTCAGTTCAGTAGGGAAATGTAATGAAACATGAAAAGGCAGACGGGATCCTTTACAGCTTTTCGTTGTCCTTGATAATACCACCCTTTTAGACAAACAGTATTAATTGATCATCATGAATTCGAAAATTGTTTCATGTGACTAAAAATCCATTTGCATACAACTGTGTCTGCACACAGGGAAATAAAGAGACAGAAAGCCACCCCTGTTTTTCTCCTTTGCAGAATCCATCCAGTTTCTGGGTGCAGATCACTGAAAGGCAGGAGCACCGCTTTGTCAAGCCTATTGCCCATAATTGAACAAAGCCTTCTTAGTGTCCCAGCTCCCACACTGGCTAGCAGAGCTTTGTATAACAGGCCTGCAATTGAAATCTAGTGTCTGCCAAAGTCCATTCAAAGTCTTTTATGAGGATAAGGCCTGTAATGGGTCTGTGGTCCTGAAAGAAATCCATAGGCGTGAGGGCAGGAAGAAACAACTTGTGGCGTCCTGAACACCTCTTTGATTGCTTTACCCCTCCTGAGGCAGGAATATTGTTGTTTCCTTTTCCTCATTCGTTCCAAAGCTGCAGTCCAGTCCTCCAGCAGAGGCCCTAGAGTCAAGTACCTTTGCCGTATTCTAGAAGTTGTTGCCAAATATAGTAAAGTTCATGTAAAACTAGGCATATTCAGCTACCTTATTCTGTTAAATTGCTTAGAGCAACATAACTTCAGTAAATAAATAATTATTTGGGGCAAGGTTCTGCACGCTTACTGTAAAGAGAGTAACTCTTTACAAGAGGCTGCCTCACATCAGTGAAATTACTAAAGTACTATGAGAAAGGGGTCAGAATTGGGCTTTAATGACTTTAGTGTTCCATGTTCCTTGGTTTTATTCCTTTTGCTTTTCATTCTAGTTATATATTCTTTATGGTTTTACATTTTTTCTTTAACATGTTTCCTAATTTTAAAAAAGGTGCATTTCCTTCCTTTTTTTTTTAATTCCCCTTTATTTTTTTATTTCCTGTCCTTTTTTTCCCCCCTGGATTGTTATGTTCTTTATAGCTTCTCCATTTTGTCTCATCCTCACCCCCTCATCCCTCACCAGCAACGAGTTCTTCTAAAGACAAATTATGGTTGTTTCCAAAGAAAGGACATTTAAAAAGAAGCTCTGCCTAAGCAAGGACTGCAAGATTCATTTCTACTCTTCCTGTCCCTTCTGTATGATTTCTTCATATTGTCTCATCCTATCTCTTTTCGCTTTTCTCCTCTTTGTTTTCTCTTCATTCAATTCTACATCATTATTCCTCCTTTTTTCCATTTCATTTTCCTCTTCTCACATGCATCTGTCTTCTCATTTCTTTAACTTTTCCACCATATGTTCTCTTTGTGGAAATCACTGGTTTCCCCTCATGCTCTGAGACTTATGTCTCCATGAAGTTCCTTTCTTCCTTCCAAATTCATTTTACTGTCATCTGTTACTATAAAATTAAAATGCCTCCCACAAACAATTTTTTCGTCTTTCTTTCCCCTGAGCACCAGTCCATTTTCCATTAACAATGTTTGTCCTGCCTCTCTTATCCAATTTACTTTCCATTGGACTTCCTCTGCCAGCTATTTCTCCTCCTGTCTGACTGGGGAAATCATCCCCTGTAAAGCCTCCCATGGTAGAACTCTGCACAACAGAAATTTGCTTTCTCCTTCAGGGTGCACTGATTTCTTTAGCAACTCTTTCCTCTAACTATTAAAATCACAGCAAATTTGCACTCACCAACAAACTCATGCAGGATTTTCAGAAGAATTCAAAAGTTGAATAGTATTCCCTTCAGGAGGAAAAAAGGGGTTTCAATGCAGGAGAGCCTATGGATTTTGTTTCTTCCACTCTGCTCACCCATCTTCACCATCCACCAGGACATGTGGGGGAATTTTATCTGGCTTCCTTTTTGTTAGGGGATATGTACGCATATCCCCTAAAATGGTCCCAGACAACTCTCACCTTTCTCCAGCACCCAGTAGTTTCATAGACACACACCCATTGTTTTATCAAGCCATAAGGTACATTGGGAATTTTTAAATGCTGTTACTGTAGATCCCAACCACTCAATGAGATTGGTATTATTTATTTTCCTGTTGGCATTATGCTGCCTTCTCTAGCATATCCACTTAATTTAAAAAGCACTGGTTTATTTGCAGTCTTCAATAAGCTACTCTTCCTAAACTGTGAAGTGCACTATACACTTAACTGTTCTGAAAGCTCAGAACTTATTAAAACAAAGTCAATTATCTATTTATATATACTTATGTATGTGTATGTATTAGTCCATAGAGTCCAAGATCATGCATTTATGGCATTTTAATGGCAATAGAGTAAAACAGACCAGTGCTGTTATATGGTAATGTTGTGAATAAAGTGGTCTTCATAGTACTATTTGAGTTTTACGGAGCTGATAGAAATCAAGGGACTACTTCTATGGATTTCAAAGGGCTTTGAATCACACCTGAAGTAGAAGTGGTTCTGATTTGATACAAGCGCTATTTT